ACAAAGATGAAAGGGTCACATTAGAAGCTCAAACATCGCAGTCCTCTGGGACGCCACATTATAAGAGGTTACAAAGCGGTCAAGGAAGACGAAGCTGTCTTCTTTGTATTTGTCATTATGAAGTAACTCGGAAGTCTTTTTTTCCTTCTATGATTACATACGATTATTGTCTCTTAAATATGTGTGCCATGGTGTGTACGTGGTTTCCTTGAAAGTGACACAACTGGTTTAGCTGGATGAACAATATGACACCGTCAACTACTTGGCAAGAAAAGCAATTGTACCAAAAGGAGTCTGTAAGCATGACATTAGTGGAACTCATGCTAGACAGAGAATAACAATAAAATGCGCTCAAACCTTTCTCAGGATAACAACAGTGTCTCCTTTTTTTAGATCCAGCTCATCCTCTGTCTTTGCCTTGTAGTCAAACATGGCTTGGCAACACTCCACCACTGAGGAGACATTACATTACATTACATTTCATCTGGCAGACACTTTTATCCAAAGCGACTTACAATAAGTGCATTCAACCAGGAGGGTACAGAGTAACAAGAATCATGTAGGTACATTAGTTTGAACTATGCCAAACCATTCCAAGTGCTAGTACATTAGCTTCAACTAAGCCATAGGGGAAGAGATGACATGTTACTAACCAGAATATGAATTTTAATAGAGTATGTGACAAACACTATGCTGACCAATCAATCTTATCAGCTTTGATTAACACCTCTACTTCAAAGATTAGCCGGGAAGAGGTGCGGAAGAGTGACAAACTGGAAATAAAAGTTGTAGACCTTGATCCCTGGAGGATACTCCCCTCTGACGTATACGCATCTCTAAAGTAATTAATCAAGTATCGATGTTTGACCCAACCCTTACATTACCGTAAAAAGTACAGGAATTAAACATCCGGTATAAATAGATCTGTGCTGACGCTTTTTTAAATGCTGTTCCCTTAGTGTTAAGTCCGTGATTGAGCAAACAAAAATAAATGCAGTTAATAAAATGACTTACCGGTTTTTGCTTTGTTCCTCACACTTGCCCTTTGAGAAATGCCCTTTGTGAGCACAAAAGGGACAATAAGTCAAAGGTTAACAACTCATGCATTTCAGAAACAATATTTCTGCATTACATACCTCCTTGTTGAAGACCGCGTCTGTGAGCTTAGGTCTTGACTTGCCCTCATTGTACTTGCTGTCTGTAAAAATAGTAAACCACTAATGAGTACATTGTTAGACAATACATCCAGAAAAAGGATTAAGAAGTTAACAAAAGTTGTTGGCTTTACCCACCTTTAGGAGAAACAAAAATCTCTTTGACAAAATTTGATGGAAATGCTCCCAATTTGCCATTTTTCACCCCCATCCACCATCCATCTTCAATCTGTCATGTAGATAATAGCAATGAGGGACAGAGTACAACAAGAAAGTATGTGAGAAGACAACATTGTATGGCTGTGCGAACACTTGCTCAAACATGTCCACTTTACATTCCAGAGTTATAACCAGTCTGTTTTAAGATAATACTTCAGGGTATATATATGTCCATATCAACTCTTAATACTCTAAAGCAACTCTTTGTGTTTCCCCAAAGCTGTGATTTCTCTGTGAAACATGCTTCGTCACCCTGGTGGAAAAACATAAGGAGAGTGTGACACCCAAATAATCATTACACCTTAGGAAAGACTCTTGATCTAGCCCGGGAAATTGGCTGAACAAACATTTAACCAACGCCCAGATTTACAATGCCAATGTAGACGCTTGCAGGGAAGTGCACTGCTTCTGATAACTTAATAATAGGCTGTTTTGCAGAGCCTCATTGTTAGTTTATTTGAGTTTGAATGTGAGTGTTTGAGCAGCGATAGGAGGGAGTTGTACCTCGCGGAGGATCTCTATCGTCTCCCCAGCTGCCAGCTGCAGCTCGTCTTCATTCAAGGCGTTATAGGCAAACTCAACCTCGCATTTCCTCGTCTGTTTCTTCCTCTTTGCTTGAAAGACAAAGAATCACCAGCCACATCAATAGACATTTGTAAAGTGTTTAATCTACTGGTGAAGCTGATGGGAAAGCTAACGCTCAATAATGGTGTGTATAGCTCGATTATAGGCAGTGTAGTCAAGTCTCGACAGGAAAGTGCAAAGACTGCCAATCTCTAGATGCTTCTAACATCTTCTAACATACCTAATCCCTCCAAAAGACTCATACAATATAATTAGGATTTGTGCAGAGAGGATGTGGTTGACTTATATTTACAGTGTGCTTGATGCTGCACTGCTTTGCTGAGTCCATTCACCACCAACCACCATTTCAAACACTTGTGAACCATCAATGTTACAATAGGAAAACCAACCTGATTTGAATAGCACTGTCACATTTTTTGATTGTTTATTTTGAGTAGACTCACACTGCATACAGTACAGTATGTGCAGATTTCTTAAAATGATAATTGAGTAGACTCTCACACTGCATACAGAACAGTATGTGCAGATTTCTTAACATGATAATTGTTCTAGTTATAATAAATGTAATATATTTATATATGATAGACTGACATAATGTGCCTTTGCAGGGCCAGAAGGCAGAACTACAGGTATTATACACAATCAAGTTTGAAAAGAACATTTTATTAGTTGCAAATAAGTTTCATTGAACTGCATTTTACTTGTTCTGAGGCTCCGTGGTTCCCTCTTGCTGTCGCCTATCAAATTTACTGGCACCTCCTGTAATGACAACCAAAACAAGGCATTTTTTAGGATATTTGGTTAACTGTAAACACACAGTATAGTAACAGTCAGCTGTAGGCTGTTTAGCGTCAACAGACCTTGGTGAAGTTAGCAGGGAAGATGCCTCTCTTTCCTCCCAGCTCCCCCTCCAGCCATCCCTCCTCGCTGAACTTTGTGACGTTTTTGACCACATCCCCCATCCTCACTGTGATCTCGTCTCCCATGGTGCCCTCGAAGTCGAGCAGCACTAGCACCTCTACAGTGGCATGGCAAATGGGGCAGAAAATTAGACTCTTTGCACAAAGGCTGGTGTGCCGGCTTCACAACTGATGCGTCCTGACATTTGAAAACCAAGTCTAACATCCCTAAGTAGTGGAGGCTAGACAAGGGAATGGGCTTTGAACCAATATAAATGATTACAGATCAATCATACAGTATGTATCAATCCTTTTATTATGTAAAAACATGTTTTCAATGTCAATCAGATGGCTCAAAAATAAACAAATTACAGAAGAATCAAAGGTTTTCCTGCACTCATTAAATAATCTCTGTGTATATACAAAACATTTTTGCAGACACTAATACATGTATTCAATTCATGCAAATCATGCAATCCTATCCATACACAGTACCACGACTTTAGTACATTAGCATGCCAATTTGATACTTAAAATAAAATCACCACCATTTGGAGCAGACAAAAAACAACTCAATATTTTCATTACTTCACATTTTTGTGTTTTACTATCCATTAAACACACAGCTTAGAAGTATAAAAACAGCAAGAAACGTCAACCCATGTAAGAATAAGTATTAACGCCGACTCACCCATGATCTCGTTCTTTCTTTCTCCCTCGAATTTGAATATGCAATGTCCACAAAAAAGCAAACAAAGTCTTGAGTAGAAGGAGAACTGAAAGAGTGTGGTCGTGTTGTCTGAGACAGAGATATGGAAGCCAAGGTCCTTCTTCCTACTTGTCAAACATTAACATTGAGCAACTTTTCCTGAGGCTATTCAAGGCAAGTCAACAGCAAGAAGTAGGATGGGTCAGTGCAGAGAGAGAGAGAGAGAGAGAGAGTGCAATGGAGGGAGAAGGAGGAGAGAGGGAGGGAGGGAAGGGGGTAAACAGGTAAGACAGGTTTATAGTGAAAGAACAGAGCTCATAAGTGAGGCTTAGAATAGAGCATGACAATGTATGTCAGCACAATAATATTACAAGACAAAGTCAGCTTTGACAGGAAGCACAATTAAGCTTAAATGCAGGTCTGAGTGTTCTTTCGTACAGTTCCATACTGTGTGTTCACTCAACTATCTTTGTATGTGTATGGGAGTGTGTGAGTGTATCTGTAACGTTGTTTTTGTACGCACTTAAAGGAAAAGAGGCTAGACAGTTATAGAAAGCAGAAGGGTATGCAAGACAGCACTTTACAAACCCTTAGCGGATAAAAGTAACAACACACATTTTATAAGAAAGATTCATACTTTGGTCACTCTCCCTTCCTTTTACTAAACATGTTGTGTCACTATGCTTAGTCATTACTCAAGCACTTTCTCATCTTTCCTGTTGAAGGCTAGTAAGCGAGACTTCTCTGTCTCGTTTTAATCATTGAGGATATTCTCTTTTTGTCCTGTAAAGGTTTTCTCCTGGTGATACTGAGTGACAGCTCAGCCAAATAAGTGGTAAAAAGGTTTAAAAACTGATATATATTTGGGACTAAAGCCCTTATTTCCAAATAAACAAGCATTTAGAGCAAATATCTAAATTGTGCATATCATTCACTTATTTAACACTGTCTATAGAGGCTCTGTGTAATAAGGACGAGAAGAGTTTTTGTATGTCTTATATTTGTACTTGGTAACCCAGAAATGTCAGAGGGCAGAACATGTGATTCAGGGTTTTTGAACTTGTGGTTGCATGTGCTTATGTCTGAATAATTTTGTTTCGAAACAAAAGATGGCAGTGTCATCGGAGGACTTACAATTGCAAGCCATGTAGTTGTTTTCCTGGTCAGCTGATGCAATCATTTGTTTACAATGAGAAACAATTTGGGTGTTGTGACTGGGGCTCTCAGTTAAATACAGGCTGTTAATAGACATTTGCAAACAGCAAGTACAGTTGTATTGTTCTCTAGATATGTATTAACTTGTCTGTTTGTTTACTATATGTTAAACCTCTCTGGTATCACTGTTAAAACAGATGAACCTGTAGCTGCAGACATGCATCAGGCCACTGATTGATTCATAATCCTAAATTGCTCAAAAAACATACAAAGGCAGACTTTAAAGTAATCAGTGTCTCTTTAATTTACAGTCTCCAAGAAGAAAAAACATTATCAACATCTATTTTAAAAAAAAAAACAATATTCTCAAAGCAGGTGACACTTAAAACAGTCAAATGTGAATCCGAATCTGTTGGCCTGAATTGTACAAATAAGACCAGCGGATCCACAGCAAGGCACTGAAATGTAAATGTAATTCAATAATATTGGCAGTTGTCCAAACACAGATGAGCCTTATTCTAGACATCAAGTCATTTAGTGATGATAACTCTTTTTACTCTGTTTCTGTTTTCTAAACAAATGCACATTTTGAGCGTTTCTCCCACAATGTTGACACCGTTGGACACAACTTACATAAGTGATTAAATCATCATTGGCTTGTTTCAAAGCTCAAATGAAAAACACATCGGTGTATATATGGGGAAATTCTACGTAGCCAAGTACAATTATGTGTTTGGGAAAAGAGTATAATCACCACCAATATTATACATTGATTAGTGTTATCCACGATGAAACAAATAGCTACTGTAACGTACTTTGATGTTAAAATGTTTAATGAGAAACACATAAGCCAGCTAGTTGTGTTGATCTGTTGGGTGTTGTACAAAGAAGGATTGTAGAGCATAACCTTTGACCCTTTACAGTTTGGTCCCATGTCAGATCAGGGTCTTTGAAGAGTGTTGCATTGACCGAACAATGAAGTTCTTATGTCAACATGACCTACAGTGTTTTTATTACTGCAATTTTAATCCAGATAAGACACAGCTCAAAGCAAGAGCCTGTTTTTCTAGAGATTATTAATCTTGTAACCCACTCACAAAACATTTATTCAGTTGCACAAGTATAAGGCACACGCTAATTTTATCTAGGATGTGATTTTCTCTTACTCAAAAATACAAATGTCTTTTTTTTGACGCACAGAACATTTCCACTTAACCGTAAAAAGCTAAAAATATGTAACTTAAATCCACATTTTTATGAGAAACATCAATTCACCCTTTAAACAGTGCATCTACTAGCTATGAGTTATATCCTTATGTGGAAAATTGTTATGTTTAAAGTAAAGTCAGAATCTTAAAGTTTAAAAGAGCCGTAAAAGAGTCCATTGTGCTGTGTAGAATCACAAAGTGAGATTGTTTAAAAGCGAAGAAGAAAATTGAGATTCTCAGCATCCTGCTTCTCTGCTCAAGTCTTCTCCCCTTCGATTCCTCCATCTTTATGGTCCTGTTGTCTCTCCTCTTCCTGAGCGCTGCCTTGCTCCCCGTTGATCTGGAACTTATCATGGGCCCTTTTGGGGCTGTTGGTGTTGGGGCCTCCAGTGGCTTTGCGGATGATAAATCGAGCTCTTCCACGCGAGGCGCTTCCCCGTCCGCGCCCTCGGTTTTCAAACCACTTGCACTCTGCTTCTCGTTCTCTGTCGTCGTGCTGAGAGAAAAAGGATAAAGGGTTGTCATTTCCAAACTTGAATTATAGATTATACAACACCATGTGGTTCATTCAAACAAAGATGGGAAGGCTGAATGGATATCAACCCTACCAAGTAGTATTTTCTGCTCTTGGGAGTGAACTCCGGGTCCCAGTCTTCAGCTTTTGGGTCTACTTCCATGTTTGCCATGGCGTTGCTGTGTGAACTGTTTCCTTGATTATTGCCTCCGTTCCAGCTCCGACCTCGTATTCGGACTTGCTGTAAACAGAGGATAAGGCAAAAAAAAAATCAGCATTTGAATTCATATCAATGTATGAATTGAAGTCAACATGTACAGTGAAAGTTGACACAGCCATTGCTCCGATCTCTGCTTTCCCGTCAATCCAACATCATGTGTTAAACTTACGAATCCTCCACGAGGCCTTCCTCCTTCATCTGGTCCCGTTGACTCCGTTTGACCCAGTCTGCCTCTGTCAAAGGCTTTTTCTTTGGGATCAGACTTGCCATGGGGCAAATCTTCTTTTTGGGACTTAGAAGACGAGGAGGAAGAAGATGAACTTGAGCGACTGCGCTTCTTTTCACTTTTCCTAGAAGGAGAAATGGTTCATTCAAAAAGCTTTCATGGCCAATTGTTTATCATGCAGAAAACATGTGTAGATATTTCAAAACATAACACGGCAGTTGCACATACTTTGATCTCTTGCGGCTTTTCGAGAACTTGTCCAAAGATCTCCCTCTACTAGAATCAGGGGACTCTCCCACATCTCTTCCCCGATCCTGTTTATACTCTCTGTCATGGCTGGAATATTTTTTACGCCGTTCAATATCCAAACGAAGATCCATTGGGTCCTCCTTCACTTTATCCACGCCGTCCTGAGCAAATCAAAAACAGAACACAACGTCGTGGATAGACTTTGGATTAGCATGTAGCTGCTATCAGTCGGCTCTAAACAGTGAGGTATGGGGGGGAGGGGGGGCTGTGTAACCTTGGTAACAGCCAGCTGGCATGAATAAAACCAAGAACTTTCCAGAGCACTTAAAGGGCCAAAGCAGTAGTTTTGCATGTTGAGGATTTCCTTAAAATCTGAACCATCCTTCAAAGCAAATGTTTTGGATAGATGTTCTGCCTTCACAGCAGTTTTTTTAACTTCGTAAACAAATCAACTTCATAATACTTAGATTTGCTTCAGATAGGCAATTCATCACCGTCAATATTTAAAGGGGACCTATCATGCAAAATGCACTTTTGTACGTCTTTTATACATGAATATGTGTCCCCGGTGTTCCAGGGAACTCACCAAGTGTCAGAAAACACAACCCTCTCTATTTTCCTCCATACCCAAATCTCTAAAAAAGGGGCTGCAACGGATCTGATAAAAACTGATCCAGATTTGAACACTGTCCTGACGTCAGGACGGTGGCGCTACGGCTATTGGGCCAACTCCACCAATCAGGAGGAGACAGCCACGGCATTGCCGTTCGAAAGCGCTGGAGACGCTGTAGTACATATGCCAGGCCTGTAGATGGTGCTGTTGCTCACAGAATCAGCCCTTGCCAAAACAGAGCTAGAAATTGTCAAATTGAGCGAAATGAGGCATGGCTAAAATGCATGATCTGTTTGGTATTTTGAAAAAAAAAAAGTATAAATATGCCTTATATAGGTATGGTCCTACACTATATTATTCAAATATAGCATGATAGGTCCACTTTAAGTCAGCTGTGTTTTGTGTTAAAGTCAAGGGGTTGCATGGTCAGCTGGTCAGAAGGGTATATTTGTAAATCCTCCTTACTGGTGCATTTATGCTCGTGGGAAAGTCCAGAATCCAAGGCTCCACTCCAAGAATCTGATGCACTACAGCAACACATGGTCCAGCATTGTTTCACATTATCCTTGCTTCTTTGTCTTCCATGTATAACATGACTTCCATTTCCCGTATTTTCAACATCAGAGCATCACAGACATGGTTCTTTCAGGTATTTTAAAACCAAGTCTTTTAAAAAGCAATCCCTGAATGTTCACGGTGATGTATTGCCTATTTCAAACAAGATTCAAGTCACTTCAAATGTATCATCACACTCATTTAAAAGTGTACACACTTCCTAGTTGAGTTATGGCAAAACGACTAGTATGGTTCTTTAACAATGGGGAAGAAAAAGAAGATAGGACTGTTCATGCTAATTGAGGTTCAATGTTTTAGTAGTTTTCACCCCTCATGTTTACAAATGCTTGACCATAAGTGTCCATGCTCGTCAATAAAGAAATACTGTGAGGGTTTACTCAGAAGGTTAGGCATGTAAATGTAAACACAGTTGCATAAAGGTGCTTGCTGTCGGTCATTTCCGTTCCTAATGTTTTTAAAGAATACTTACGAAGACAATTTCTTAGAGTCCTTTGAACAGCTTTGGCACAGTGACTTCCATTTCTGAACTTATATGATTCATTAGCCTTGGTCAGGCTTTTGCCCACAGTCTAAGCAATTCACCATGTGTGAAGGTGACATATAACAAACAACAAAGTCAAAGTGCCTTATTTTGCATTTGCATTTCATAGACTGTGCATCTCCCTCAAGGAAGGCCACAGGCTTTCAGAGAGTGCAGTCTAAAGGCATCTGGCTTGCTCATTTGCTTGCTGTTGTTTGCTTTTCCAACATAATTCATACTGCAAAATATTCAGTCACCTTGTAAGTGCCATCCTCTGAGCTTTTCATCGCCTCAAAAAGTTGAGAGTGTTTCTTAAAAGCTCTTGGTGAAACGTCAATTCTCCTGTGAGAAAGAAAAACAATTCAGACAAGATATTAGAATGCACATAATACAGGATCTATAGTGCAGGGGCCACAAGGACAAACTTGGCGACATTGAACTGCAGGGACGACACAAACAGACAAAGAAAAGAAAAATTGGGTGAAAAAGACGGACCTCCACCAAGCATACGAAAGCAAAGATAGTGTGTTGATGTTCAGGTAGGAAAGGTGAGAGGAATACCTGAAAGCTGTTAAAAGAGGGGGTGAAGCCACAGCACACTGAAGGTGAGAGGGTCACTCAATAGGCGACTCTACCTGTGTATCTCTGGGCTTTTTCTTGGCTTCATCAATTCCTTCTCTGCAGCTCGTCTTTGGAACATGGTGAATCGCTCGTTTATAGTCATTCCAGGGGATGGAAAGTGCTGAGCTGTGCAGGGAAACATGAATAACAGCAGAAGTTAGTGCTTTCTGTGTCTGTCTGATGCTACATTAAATAGACAAACCCAGATGCGATAGTACAAGCAGTTACTATAATCGTATTAAGCATGTCGTGTGATTAGATTACTCCACTGCGGACTTACCTTTAATGTGGTGAACGATGCTGACTATGTGTTGAGCAAACAGCTCAGAAGGACTCCTCTGTAACTGAGGAGCCTGAACATGATGAAAGATAGAGCGAAACTCCTGATCCTTTTTTGAGGACTGAACAAGATCCTGGGACAACTGTCGCTCCTCAGCTAAAATATCAGAGCTGAAAATGATAAAAGAAAGTTTTTAGTCTGTTGCTTTGGTTTAATATAAACAGAAAACAGTTCTCAGATCACATGAAACTGTATTAAAACACTGATACTAGGGCTGTGCAATTAATCGTATTTTAATCGCAATTACGATTTTGGCCTGCCACAATTACGAAAACAACATAATCGAAAAAAACGATTATTTTGCTTTGCTTGGTTGTGACACTGCAACATATTTGATCTAATTTATTTTAGTCTAATTTATTTGTATTTATCATATTTACATATGTTTAGTAGCTTGTTGAAGTGCGCTCCAAAATATTTGTTGATCTTGTTTATTGGTATGTATTATTTTTGATATTATTTATTAAAATGTAAATATAAATGTATCATTTATTTTTGTATTGGTTTTTCAGTTGAATTATATGTTCAGGGTAATCAACAGTTAAAAAGATACTGTTCAAATTATTATTTGTATTTGTTTTAAAGTTCAATAAATGGATGTTTTCAAAGTCAATTAATAATCGTGATATCAATTATTGACCAAAATAATCGTGATTATGATTTTTGCCATAATCGCACAGCCCTAGCTGATACTGTTGCAGAAAATGCTCTTTTTGCCAATCTATTAATTAAATCAGTTGTGACGTCTGACCTCCAGTATGGGAGCAGAAATCATTATGCGATGCTCACCTCATCAGTCTCTCTCCGAGGAAATCCATTCTGACATTTACTTTTGGTTCCTGTTTTCTTGAGGACATGAAAGGAGTGTCCTCTCCCCTGAGCTCTACGTCAGGGTTCCTCCTTGGTGGTGGTGGTGCAGGAGATGGGATGGAGGGAGAGCTTGTCATCTTCCTGGCTTTACCTGCCATGTCTGGTGACAGTTCCTCAAAATGTCCCGCCATCTCCCTCTTAGCGAGGGCAGCAGAAATTGCCGCTACTCTATCCTGCTTTCGACTAAGATATACATCTTCTGCTACCGAGTCAAGGTCGCAGTTAGCAGCCTGTGAATAACTCACATTTTGCGATTTGCTAAAGCATTCATCAAACAGTTCCCGGGCTGAGTGAGTGACCCTGATCTTTGTCTTAGAGGACTCTTCCCCATTTTGCCAGTCTTTGTGAAGTGACTTTGAATTAGGCTTGACTATCATCTCCTCCTCTTCCTCGCCGTCAGCAGACAGAAAGGGAGAAGCTTTCAGAAAGCTGTTCAGAGACACTTCACCACCATTGTCCTCTTTGCATTTTCTTGACACTGAGTCAGAAATATTTGTGGGTGCTTTTCCATTCACTTTCCCTTTTTCCATTTCCACATCATTTTCCAGAGCTTTGGCTTTTTTATTTTGCTCTTCCAAAAACCTAAAGAAAGACAAAGAGATAAAGAACTGCATCTAACTGGGCATGCAACGTGGGAGACAACAAATGAAACCAATCGATTATATGAACAGATGTCATAAGAGGCCTTACAAATAGCTTTTACTAACATGTTGAGTATTAAATCTAGGAAAAAAGGATGTAAACACATGCAGAATTTCATTCAAAAACACTGTTGACAAGTATCATATTTTAAATCCCCCTAAATCTCAAACAATGAATTTGTTTGTATATCTATTGAGCTTGCATGTATTGATAAGTAGAAGTGAATTAAAAGAGTAAAACCATTCTTACTGTCTGAAGGCAATGGAGATGGCAGTTTTATCTCCATCCAGGTATTCCTCGTTGGAGAAGAAGTCAAAGCTGGAGAGCATTGGATTTAGACCTTCATGTGAGGGTTTTTTTGTCGAGGAGGAACTACCCACCATCCTCCAGGAGGGGGCGCCATTGCTGATGTCCTTTGTGATTTTAGGGGAAGGACTAGACTGGTTGGTAGACTGGCTGTTCTGCCCAACAATAACAGCATAGCTCGCCAGGGTGCTGGTTCTCTTTGGGCTGCAGTCACTAAGACCCTGCCAGTTCCCCTCAGCTTTCCCACTGCAGGCGCTTTCTTTGGCCTCTCCTGCCAACACCCCCACAGGCTCCGCTGTCTCCTCATCTCCCCCTCCTCCCTTTTGGGCCTCCTTGGAGACAGAGAGCTCCTCTTTCCCATCTTTGGCGTTTGGGTTAGTCAGCGACAAGGCTGGCTTCCATTTGGGAGAGGAGGAGTGTGAGGAAGAGGACGAATGCTGGGAGTGTCTGGATAGAGGCGAGGAGGATTGGTCTGAGTGGTGGGAGTGACCATGAGGGGGGCTTCCCGAGCGCTGCTGGGGGTTGTGAGAGCGTCCTCGTGCATGGTTTGGCTGCTGCTGCTGCTCCTGCTCCTGCTGGTTTTGCTGCTGCTGCTGCTGCTGCTGCTGTTTCTGAGGGTACTGCTGCTTGTAGTTCTTCCAGTTGGGGCGGAAGTTGTTGTTATTGTTGTAGCCACCTCCCCCGCCGCCACGCTGGTAGCGTCCGCGTGGGAAGAAGCCCCGCCCCCGGCCCCTGAAGTTGTACGGCCTCCGGAAGCCGCGGTGGTAGCCCCGGAACTCACGCCCGTTCTGGTATCCCCTCGGGTATTTCTTCTCCCGGTTATGAGATGGAGAACGAGATCTTGACCATGACCGAGACCTGGAGCTGTGAACGAAAGCGAGAGGGTAAAGAAAGAACTTAGTTACTGCCTTTTTTCTTCCAAAGATTAACACAAATGTAGTTGTGTAGTTTTTTAGGAATGTAATGCAATCTAATACAGCACTATCTGAAACAGTATCTCCCACCTTTACATCGCTCAAGTGCAGTCTCTCTTACAAACATTTTCTGAGCAGACGGTAGGGCTGCTCAATTAATCGTATTTTAATCGCAATTACGATTTTGGCTTGCAACGATTATGAAAACAACATAATCGAAATAAAACGACTATTTTTTATTTATTTAAAAAAAAATTGTATTGGTTTTTCAGTTGAATTATACTTAAAGTTCAGGGTAATCAACTGTTAAAAACATACTGTTCACATTTTTTTTTTTTCAATAAATGGATGTTTTCAAAGTAAATGGATAATCGTTTTTAATAATCGTGATATAAATTATTGACCCAAATAATCGAGATTATGATTTTTGCCATAATCGAGCAGCCCTAGCAGACGGTGCATACATTATAGTGACATGACGATATGATATAGCTCAATGAAAATAAGACAATTCTAGTATAAACTGGTCAGTAATTAATTCAAATCTTTGAGGCGTCGTAGACAGATGTGTATATAATCATAATTACAATGATAATCATTGGTCATGATATTGTGCTTGCAAATGACAGCTATTGAATTGAATGATTGTTGTTTGTGGTGTTTTACCTGATAAATACATTTGAAAGTAAAAAACAAACATACAACACGTATACAGGCAGACTGGCTGTTTCACTGATAAAAGATTGGGACAGTAAAACCATAGAAATAATCACTTAAAGCCAAATGCTGTAGATACACCAACAACAAGAAACACTTATTTTGCCATTCAGAAAAGATGGCAAAATAAGTTTGGTGAACCAATGGCCAACAGACATGCACACACTTATATAAAACACATAAAGCATTTTCACATGAATATGCATCCAACATCCATAAGTCGTTTGGAATTGATAAAACATGTGTAGGGACCAAACAGCCCACATGAGGAGCGCTGCATGGAGAAAGCAGACTTCACACTGTGGTTCTGGCCAGGCTGCAGGGACACACTCGGCCACATGGGGGCTCTCCTGCACTTCTGATAAAAAGCCTTGTGTCGTCCACTAGCATGAATCTTAAACACAGTTTTAAGATGATATCAACGAGACAGTATGTTCTCTTCTTTACAACAGTGGTTTAACCAGCCCAACGTGCATTCTTCAAGCATTTCAACATAACTTTGGAATATATCAACGGAGCAAATCTAGTGTTGACGTCAAACTAGCCATGTTACTAAAGTATTTTCTCTACAGCTACTTCTTTTGCAACTTTTCTACAACTGTCACTAAATAAAAAGAAACTCCACAGACAGTGTCCCTACTATACTTTTCATTTAAAAAACGTACTGAAATGGGAACGTATATTAAGAAGTTAGGGTTACAAAGCCTACTATACAGTACATTGCAGAACAACAGTTTAAATTGACAGCACAAAACAGCACCACACTACATGCAAATAAATGTGCAAACCATATACAAAGGCTAAAAACGCATAGGACTCACCTAGTGTGTGTTTGCATTGGAATACAGAGTGAGTAAAGAAAGAAGCGCACTGAGCTCTCTCACAGTGCGAGCTACGGATACTACATCTCGTCTGGCCAACTGGTGGAGCAGAGAGTCACATGGAGCATGGAAAAAAAAAAAGAAACGTCTACTCCAATCCTCCCTCTGTGCTTGCCGGGCTGTTCAACCAGTTTAGTGAGACTTTTAATAGCCTGACACCAACATACTGCAGATATCCACATCTGAAAAGTCTTTCAGCAAGAATCACTGTAGCTCGTCACATCAATTAGATTTTTAATAAAACACCCACAAGCAAGAGTACTCCAATTCAATTCAATTCAAAACCTTTATTTATCCAGGTGAAATCCCATTGAGATCATTGATCTCTTTTTCAAGGGAGACCTGCAGCAGTAGGTTCCACGTGAAGACATAAAAACATAAACAACAGAACTCCAAATGTAGTCAGACTTGTTGACAGGTTGGAGATGATTTGCCCAGAAGATGTAGCGAGATAAAATGTGTGTTTTGGGTTATTGTATTTGAATCTGTGTTTGTATACAACTTATGTAAATGTGTGTGACCACAAATCCTTTTGCCTACGTGTAAGGTGTGCTCAGTATGAGAAAAAACATTAGATTCCTTCCACGTCCAGCTTAATGCCAATTCTTTAAAAATGTGCTGCCACACTGCCAGGAAATGAGCAGCCTTTGCCTTTTATTGCCATGCCACAGTTATTCTGCCAGGAACAGCAAAGGCATCAGAGTGAAGCCTTCGTTTCTCTTACAAACGCGCCGTTTAGCCAGCAGATAACCCCACATTTTTATCAAGCAAAACAACAAATGCTGCACTCTTGATTAAAAGCTTGATAAATATTGTGATATGGCGCAGAGGCAGCCTATTATGGAAATGTTGCATGCAGTGCAAGCTGGAATAATATTCACTCTAATTTAAGTAAATTCACAAACCGGCAGCTGAACTCTCTCTCAAACATCAATTTCCTCTTGATACAGAAGCCGACTCCAGAGTTTGAGTCCGACCCAAATCCATTTATACGCTACACCAGCTTTGTGAGTTCATGAGAACCAAAGTCATAAAAGTCCAAGACAAGACAACGTCTTGCAGATGGAAATAAAAAAAGATCATGTAGCTACCAGAGAAGATTATTCTAACAGAACACAGACCTGCTTGGTGCCTTTCCCACTGTCAAAATTAAACTGCACACGCATCTTTCCCATGCCAAATCTTACAAGCACATTGTATTGTCCATTCCTCAGGACAGGATTAACTAGATAGTTTGAGTGGAAAATTAGTTTAGCAGAAAATAAAGGATGTCTGTGCATAACAAGACGGCACTTAGCCTGCTGCACCTGCTGCTAGTTGTTCTGCTTCTTCATCAGTCATTCATTCCTTAAGCATTAGCTGGGTTATGGCATTCATACAAACTATGAGACCTTTTTCTCCAAAGAATCCCCAAAGGCACAGAGGCATGGACTACACAAACACAATGCAGCCAATAGCAAAAATATATTTGTTTGTTTTTCATAAAAGGGGACTTTACCGGTAGTGGCGCTTCTTTGATCGGGATCTGGAGCGACTCCTGGAGCGAGAGCTGGAGCGGGATCTAGACCGGGACCTGGTGCGGCTCCGAGACCTCGAGGCGGATTTTGGCGATCTGGACATCACTGCAGCCAACCCTCAAACTGTTGCACAAGAGAAATACAACCGAGTTAGGATTCAATCAAATATACATTTGGCAAACAATACTTGTCTTTTTTAGTAACCTTTTCAAGCCACTGGTTTCAAAGAATGAATATGTATCCTCTTGAGTTAACAATTGTATCAACAATTGAAAACATTTAAAGAGAGCCAAGAGTCAAACATTCAAGAAAGACAATATCCGACAGAGATGAGTCAACTGAGAGAGATTTCAAAAGCTGAGAGAAGAAACCGAACAGCTGTGAAAAAGGAAGAAGGCAATAGTGATGGGCATCCAAACAGAACGCGTTTTATTTAGTCTCTGATCATTTGCATAGAGGGCTGTCTTTTGTCAGTCATCGGCCTACTTTGAGCCAGCAATTCAATTCAAAGATACAGATATCAGTAACACTAGTTTGTATACACTGCAGAGGATATAGTAAATCACCAGAAACATTATGAATGAATTAAAAGACCACACAGTTTCCAAATAAGGTGAACAAAGATAGTATGACTTGTATTTTACTTTAAAGTCAGTCTCATGATGTCATGTCATTTCTTTAAATAATAAACTCATACATATACGTGTCCTTAATCTCTAAGCCTCACAACTTCATCACACATTCAGTATCTTAAATGCACAATCCTTATTTAATATACTGTAATTTAAAAAACGTGTAAACTACACCCAACTTTACATAACAGCCGTTGCGAAAGTGACAACAAGAAACAGTTAAAGATAGTAAGATATGTGGTTTTAAATATTGAGCTAAACTGATCATTTTAAGGAAGTCATGAAAAACAACGTTATGGTATAGGCTTGTCAAATACAATGCAAAGTACCAAAAATGTAGAAGTATTTACAGGAAATATAAGACCGGTTTAGTGTAGTACTGCTTGGTAGTCTTGTGAGTTGGTTAATCCAAAGTGAGATACTTAAAAATAGTTTATTTCCTCCGTGGCTACTGGACAATATTACATTTGCATGTTGTCAATGCTGTGAATCTGCTTCTAGAGAGATGCTCACTTTGAAATGAAGCTGCAGTCAGACCTCAGGATACTTTTCACTTCAAAGGATGTCCCTTTTGACTGGTCTCTATAGCATGTATTCCCTTCCAAGGTCCACGAGGCATTATCTCGGACATATGATCCTCGGGGTATGGTAAATGCCAGGGATCAAATCATTGATCTTTCCTTATGAAAGTCCTCTTCAGGGACTTTGGAAGGAGGAAATTGCCTACTACACATGACAGGGATTTAAAAAACCGGCGCACGCTATCACATGGTGGTCCAAGTGTGCATCTTAGATACTATTTTGGAGAATCCTGAAATGGATCTTCCCCCACCTCCTCCTCGTGCTATATGAACTTCCCACTCCTCTTATTCATGGCAGCTTGTTGTTTTTGGCTTTCAGAGAATAATTTCCTGAAGGTCTAGCCGCAACAGACCGTTGATTCAGCCTACTCTGCACATTTTAAGAATGGCATTCAGATGTGCCCCTTTCCAACACATGGTAGCTCAACGGTAAAATAAATACATTGTAACAACCTTCCTAATTTTGCTTTATATTGAAGAGGAAGTGGGCCTTGGATGTGGAAAACTTTACTGGCTTATTCTACATTTGCTGTAATGCAATTACACCCAACAAATGGCTGGAAATAGTCTTGATTGGGCGTCAGCAGAAACGGTCTGTATACAAGACAGCTTCACAAAGCTAACGTTTCATTACGATACGATACTATATACTTTATTGTCCCCGTAAGGAAATTTGTTCTGGTCTCCGTCCTGCAGTTCTGCATACATGTACATATACAAACACAATAAACATTAAAATACATACAGATATCATCACTCGTACACCGTTTGCACGAACACAATACACAGGCGCACCCAATGACAATGGTGACCTATTGCACAGCATTATGACTGTATGTAAAGTACATGCCCATAAGGGAGTGCCTCCGTGTCTTTCGTATTCAGTATTAAAAACTAGTTGGGGGAATTTAAAGGTTTCGATAGCTTTTCTCTAAAGCTCGATTGATAACCAGCTGCAGCTGTCCGCCTCACGCTGTGTGGTCGGCAGCCTAATCACCCAGATTTCAGCCTCTCTAAAAGGCTGTGGTAAGCTCGCTCTTTAATCACTCACTACTCGATTTGAGCACAAAACGGAGTTACTGACACACATGCACTAACACGTGTCTAACTATACTTGTGTTGTGAGGACTTCTAGTTCATTTGTCCCTGATGTCTGCTTTCTTACTTTTAACACATCCAAACAATAACATTACTTCATCAAATGCCAACCATAACCATGTGTATGTCAACCATTGAAGTTACATTTACTATTCTGGCAATTACATTTCTCAACTGTTCTCTTAATCCTATGATTTTTTTTTTTTTTGTAATCCTTTATTGAACCAGGTGGTCCCATTGAGATCATCAATCTCTTTTTCAAGGGAGACCTGTCCAACATGGCAGCAAGTAGGTTACAACATGAACATAAAACAACAGATAACACAAAAGGACATTGTATTTACAGGGCTACATTCACATACCTAGAGACATTGACAAGTACCAACAGTATCAATTATCATTGCACCTATCTGAGCTTTAAAAACAGGCAGTGGAACCAATTTGCTCATTTTCAAATCTTTTGATTCTGATAAGGTCAATGATTGCCACACCAAGAAAAAAAACATCTTTCCTGGTTTAAAGTCCAGACTTCCTGTCCCCGGGGGTTTCGTTGTAAGTTAGTTAATTATGTGATAATTGATTATCCAATGCTAGTTGCATTCTGTGTACGAGTCTGCAATACGTAATGATTTTTTTTCCAAAGAAAATCCCTTCTCACAAATATATCCTCCCAAACTTGTTCGGCTGGTATCGTAATAGACACTTGTGGTTTTTGAACAAGGAACAACTCAGTTATAGGAACAACTTTCAAAACTAGAATAGCAGCTCTTTATCATTGAAAACACAGAATGGTGAATAGATGTATTTGATATAGTAAAACTAAATTAAACTGATGATGCTCTTTACATGGATACAAGTTCAACACACACATGATTAGGAGCCCCTTGGAGTGACAGCTGTGTAATCCTTATCAGCTGTTTATTTCATGTAACGGCAAAAGTAGCTCTGATCAACAATGGTCACGCAACTTGATACACAGCTCAAAGCGTACGAGAAGAAACACTCAATCAACAACCCTACCATTAAGACTTGGATGCCAGAGCGCCAGCTGGAATCACATTTGCTATCTATATGTGCCCCCGAGAAACCCTGCTCGCTATTTCAGAAAAGCCACAGCAACTGTCATTGGCACAATCTCTGCTTATTGAAATGTGGCAGTCCCTCTTAGTGTTCCCTCAAGACCCTTCATACTGTATGCTGAGGCAGTTAATGGATAGTGAGGCCACTGGCAGAGCTGTTCAAGTCAAGA